AATGTTTCAAGATCTGTCCTGAAGTACAACGGTCTCAGTGATAGGATAATATCCATACGCCTACAAGGAAAGCCAGTTAATACTACTGTTATTCAAATTTATGCACCAAGCACCAAAGCCAAAGATGAGGAAATTGAAGATTTTTCTGAATTCTGCAGTCTGAAATTGATCAAACATGCAAGCAAGACGTGCTGATCACTGGTGATTGGAATGCAAAAGTTGGAAACAAAGAAGAATCACCAGTATTTGGGTCTGCACTGGAAGAATAGGAGCTCTGGTGGTGTAGTGCCTAAGGCATTTGACTACTAACCAGGAGGCTGGTGGTTCAAACCCACGAGCCACTCCTTGGAAGGAAGACTGGGCAATCTACTTCCATAGAGATACTGCCTTGGAAACCCAAAGAAGGGTCTCTACAAGTCAGGATCGACTCAATGGCAGTGAGTTTGGTTCTTTTTGGTTGCACTGGTTTGTAACTCAAGGAGCCCAACTGGAATAAATTTTCATTGTCTACTCTAATATCCAGGAGCTCTGGTAGCATAGTGCCTAAGGCACTTGATTGCTAATCAGAAGGCTGGCGGTTCAAACCCACCAGCCACTCCTCGGAAGGAAGTTCAGGCAATCTACTACCATAGTGATACTGCCTCAGAAACCCAAGGAGGGGTCACTATGAGTTGGGTCCAGCTTGATGGCACATAACAACAACACTCCAATATCCATTCTTCCCCTTTGCCTTAGTATTAAAAGCCCAGTTTTATTTTAGGCAACAAAATGTACCCAGGTAAAAGACTATCCTTCCCAGCCTACACCAAAATCATATGTGGCCATATGACTAAATTCTGGCCAATGAGCTTAAGTGGAAACATTGCAGGTGACTTTGGTGAAAGCACTTAAAAAGATAGCTAAGCACACCACTTGCTCATTCTTTCCTTTTCTTCAGTCTACTTCCTGGAGCATGGATATGATGAATAGAGCTTGTTAGCTGCTTTGTACTATGAGGATAAGCTTCACACCCTAAGGAAGGCAGAGTTGTGACTACAAGGAGCCTGGGTCCCTGAGAACTTTGTGGAGCTGGCATACCAGCCCAAAGTAGCATATCTCTGTACTTCTGTTATATGTAAGAAAAATCAACTTTTATATTATTTTAGCCACCATTTAAAAGACTTTGTATCATGCAGCTAGACCTAATCCTAAAAGACAGGTGCCAACTATTTTGCATAATCTGCCCTCATTGTGAGATTGAATGGCGGCACTCAAGTATTTATAAAGTCTTATTTTAACTAAGTTTTTCGAAGTATTTTGAAACAATGGCCAATTTATAAAAAGACTGGTATTACACAAGGCCTCAGATGATCAATTTTGGTTTCATGTGGTGCCTCTTAGTCTAAGGAATATTTTGGTACATACCAGCAGGCTTTGTCATATCAGAAGAATGGAATTCAGGTTGACTATGGCACTTTTCATTTAAAATTTGTTGAAGACATTTGCAATCATTTGTACACAGAAAGAGATTATTACTTTCAGGTTCCTTGGAAAGTGGTCAATAATTGTTAGCTAACCATACGTCACCAAAAGGTCTGTAAAGTCCCTCCTTCTCGTCTGAATCTCCTAATCTCTCCAATGTGATCTTGTATTTAAAACAAGAGAGAAACAGTTACTTTCTGCATGTGATCATCATCATTGCTATTTATCAAACATTTCTTGCTCTCTGCTCTCCGGCACAAGGCAGAACTGCACTTCCCGGCTTCCTGTGGTTGACTCGGGCCATGCTCTGGCCAATGAGTTGTGTCACTTTCAAATCATTCACATGAGACCCTTCAGAGCTTTATTTTTCATTTGTCATGGTTTCCCCATCAACCTGTGCCCAGGAGGGAGGATGATGCCACCACTCAGCAGAGTTTCCTGTTGTCGCATATCGGACATGGGGTATAAACGTCCAATTCATATTTTTTTTTTGTTTCAACCCACTGAGATTTGAAAGTGGTTTGTTGCTGTAGCATAATCTAGTTCAGTCTGACTGATACACTATATATCCAGAGAAAGAAATCCTTCTGAGAATAAGAGTAAGCAAAGAAGCATTGAATGATATTATCTATGTATGGTGTTAGCAATCAGAAGAAATGTGTGTAAAAATTCCCTTTGCTGTGACCTATGCACTTAGCCTTTTTAACATAAACAAATTCTGATCATGAAACTTGTTTGTGGATCAATTTCCTATAATACATCTATCTATAAAAATCTGTCAGTAAGCAAAGCAATCCTCCCATTCCTCAGTAACTCCAAACTTGATTATCAAGTTTACTGCCAGTCTGGGGATTTAGATTCCATAAACGATTAGCTCCACCATGTGGTACAGAGAATAAATAACATTTATGGGACCATCAGAGCAAGGATGTATATGCAGCCTAATAGTATGTAGCTCTGAGAAGAAGGCTACCCCTGATAAGAGAAATCACATTCAGCTTGCTGGGGCCTCAAATCAAAGCAAGAGGGACAGTGTTCCTATCATGAGATTCAGAAAGCTCAACAGTAGCGAGTCTCACTTGTTTATTCATTCATTCAACTAATATTTATTGAGCTCCACTATGCACCAGATATTTTTCTAGGTCCTGGGGATAAAATGATGAAGAAGGCAGATGAAGTTTCTACCTTAGTGGGAAAGACAGACAATGGAAAATAATAATTAAATGTTTATAAATATAAAACAATATATACTTGATGGCAGTGAGGGTTTTTTTTTTTTTTTTGGTATAACATCAGATAAGGAGCCCCAATAGCACAGTGGTTAAAGCACCTGGCTGCTAACCAAAAGGATGGCAGTTTGAATCCACCAGCCACTAGGTAGAAAGATGTGGCAGTCTGCTTCTGTAAAGATTTACAGCCTTGGAAACCCTATGGGGCAGCTCTTGTCTGTCCTATAGGGTCACAATTAGTCTGAATTGACTGAATGGCAATAGGTTTGCTTATTTGCTTGTTTATGTCAGATGGTGGTAAGTGCTATAAAAACAAAATAAATCAGGGATAGGGCACAGCAGTGATGGAGGAATAGTGAGGAGGGGTTTGTTTTACATAAAGTTTAAAGGCAAACAGTGCACATTTAGCTTTCCCAAAGTTCTTTTCGATAAAAGCTCCACAGTCTCAAAGATATTTGTATCTATCCATTTTTTATCTACACATTTTCTTGATCTATGATCTATGCCCAGATCATAGTTTCTAAACATCATCCCCCTAAAAGAAATGAAGACTCAGATTCCAGGTCTGAGGCAGGAACAGACAAGATGAGCCTGGGACACACCCTCATACCAGCAAACACGGAAGCACACAAAGACAAACAGCAGGGCCACGTTAGTCTTTAATCTGTCACAGCAGATAAAAGGGCTCCCGTTGACCAAACTGGGAACTATTTAAACATCAACAAGAATACTAAGTGTAATTTATTATAATGCACTGAGTGAATAAAAATTCTTAAATTTATAGTACTATTTAGAACAAATAAAGGGATGAGTCTTTGTTTTGTAGAAAAATGCTAATAGAAGACATTATAAAATTATAGAATCATTTTTCAAACTCTAATGTAATAACTGATTTATGAAGTGATCAGCTCGTGCATGAATTTCCTATTGATGCTTAACAAATTACCACAAACTTAGTGGCTCAAAACAAAGAGCTTTATTATCTTGTGGTTTTAAAGGACAGAAGTCCCAAAGGGTCAGCAGGGAGGCATTCTGTCTGCAGTGCTCAGGGGTAATCTGTTTCCCTGATTTTTCTTTTAAACACTGTCTTTCTTCCTTGGCTCATGAATCCACATCACTCTAAATTTTGCTTCCATCATCACATCTCCTTCTGACCTTCCTGCTTCCCTCTTATAAGGACCCTTATGATTATATTGGGCTGATAAACAAGGATTATCTCCCCATCTCAAGATCCTTAACTTAATAACATCTTCAAAGTCTCTTTTGCCTTATAAGGAAACATATTCGCAGGTTGCAGGAATTTGGATGTATGAGCTGAACAAGTTTCATCAGAGCTTCCAGACAAAGATGGACTAGGAAAAAGGCCCGGCACTCTATTTCTGAAAATCAGCCAATGAAAATCCTGTGGATCACAATGGTCCAATCAATAACTGAGCACAAGGGTCGCACAGGATTGAGCAGGGTTTCACTCCACTGTCCATGGGCTTGCCACGGTTGGGGACCAACCCAGCGGCAGCTAACGCTGATGGATTTGAGAATAAACAATGGTACCAAGTCTTCCAACCCATGAACATGGCATCACTCCTTATATTTCTTCTCTTGTAGTATTTTGTAGTTTTCAAGTGCAGAGGTTTTTAGCATATTTTGTTATGTTTCCTTAAATATTTCAGATTTATGATATTGCAAATGGTATTTTTAAATTTCATTTTTTAATTACTTACAGCTAGAATATCAAAACTCAATTAACTTTTATGTATTAGCCTTGTAGCTTATGAACTTGATATATTCACTTATTATCTTAGTAGCTTTTTGACAGACTCAACAGGATTTTATATATTTCCAATCATGCCCTCTGAGAAAAACAAGTATTACAGTTCCCTTTAAGTTATGCATTCCTTTCTTTTTCTTGCCTTATTGCGTTAACTAGGATATGGAGTACAATGGTAAATGGCAGTAAGAGCAGCCATTTTTACTTTGTCCAGTGTGATTAAATATGATTGAGCTGTATTTTATGTAAGTGTCCTTTCTCAAGTTGAAGAAGTTCCCTTTTCTTCCTACATCCATTTCATGTTATCAGGAGCAATCAGTCCCTGGAGAAGGGTATCATGCTTGGTACAGGGTCAGTGAAAAAGGGGAAGACCCTCAGTGAGATGGACTGACACAGTGACTGCAACGACAGGCTCAACCATAGCAGTGATTGTGAAGATAGTGCAGACTGGGCAGCGTTTCGTTCTGTTGTCCACAGGGTCACTACAAGTCAAAACTGACTTGACAGCACTTAATAACAGCAACATTACTGTAAAAAAGTTATAAATAAATATTTCAATACCTTCTTTATTATGGCTATAAACTTATAGTTTGTGTATATATACATATATATCTAACATTGAAAACAATACAGAGTATGACCCCAATAATGTGTTCTTGTAGCTTGTTTACTTAAGAGTGCTTTTAAAGAAGGTGATCACAGTCGTGGAAAATGCTTTATTGTATCATGCCAATATACTGCAGAGTATTTCAAGATAATACAAAAGTAATCCACAGACTTGATTAAGTAAAGATCAAATGATCCAAAAGATTTTCTTCCTTAGTTTTTCACAGCAACTACTAAAGTCCATAAGCTGATTTTTCCAAGAAAGATTATTCTAATAATTTTGAGTGTTCAATCCGTGAAATGGTCCAATCAGGCTTTACTCCTTGTGTAAACTCCCTGTGAAATCTAGAAAATAAAATTACAAATAATGTGAAAATTATACCAGAACAAATACTTCTTTACAAAAATAAACCGAACTCACTGCCATCGAGTCAGATCTGACTCACAGCGACCCCTCTTTGGGTTTCTGAGGCAGTATCACTACGGATTGCCCAATCTTCCTTTCAAGGAGTGGCTGGTGAAATACTTCTTTAATAATCATATAATTTGCAAGAATATGTTGGAGGTAGTTTTTAGCATCAAGCTAACGGCTAATGGTAAATAAAAATCAAACAAAAAACATTAAGAGACTCACAAAATCAGAGGTGCATCATCAACTAAAATGAGCATCTTTGTTGGACTGGTCTGTATTTAACACTACCAGCCTCTAACAGGAAATTTGATGTTATTCTGTTGTTAAATACTAGCTGTCACTGTGATGGTAGTGTGCCGCTGCATCAATTCTGACTCACACAGACCCTACAGGATGGCATAGAACTGCCCCATAGGATTCTCTAGGCTGTAATCTGTACAGGAGCAGAGCAGCAGGTCTTCTCTCCTGTAGAGATGCTGGGTGGGTTCAAACTGCAGACCTTTGGGTTAGCAGCTGAGCACTCAACACTGTGCCACCACAGCAGTAACACATGCTTAATATGAACAGAAATACTGGTCTAAAGGTGATGAACACAGCATTTGAAACATGTAATCTACTATATAGGAGAAATTATTTTCAAATAAATTGTTACCAATTTAGGGATAAAAGAATTTGATTTATATACACTAAATCAGTCTTAAAAATAACATTTTTGAGCTCTTAGGAAGGTAAACAAAAATTAATGTGATAAGGGAGTAAAACAGTTAAAAATCACAATCCTTCAAATTTACTATTTCTGGTACTTCTCTAAGAACTCTCTCCTCCAACCATTCCTCATTACCTCCCATAGTATTAGTAAAGAACATCAGAAAAGACAAATTTCAGTATTGATCATGTTGTTACTATGTGCTGTTGAAGTCAATTCAAATTCCTAGTGACCCTGTACAACACAGAAGAGCTGCCTCATAGTTTCCTAGGCTAGAGCCCTTTTGGTGCCAGTGGTTAAGCACTGGTTGCTAATTGAAACGTTGGTAGTTTGAATCCAACAAGCAGCTCCATGGCAGAAAGATCTAGCAATCTGTCCCTGTAAAGATTACAGCCTAGAAAACCCCATAGGCAGTTCAGCTCTTTCACATGGGGATGCTATGAGTTGAAACTGACTCAACAACACCTAATAATACCAACAATCTTTATAGAGTAGGTCACCAGGTCTTTTTTCTTGCTAGTGGGTTCAAACAGCCAACCTTTCAGTTAGCAACAGAGTGCTTAACCATTGCTCCACCAGGACTCCTCAGTACTAAGATATGGCTATCTTAAAGAAGAGACAGTACCTGAGACTTAAATAAGTATTTATATAAAATATTTTGGGTAACTGCAAATAAAACAAAGTGCAAATTAAAAAATAAATAAATAAAAATTTTCTTTCAAGAATAGAAAAAAAAAAAATAAGGATATAACTCCCTATCCCTTAGTGATAAATTAATTTTTCTTTCTAAGATCATTTCTGGGATTTCTGGAATTTTAAAGCCAATGTGTATAACTTTGGTGACAAAATAATGGCACATTCTGTTTTAAAGGAATACTGAATTATATGTGTTTCCACTGACATGCTCACTGTTTCAAATTTTATTAGCATAACAATATACTGTAGTGTCTCTTTCAAACAATTTTCTAACCTTGCAGTAGACAAAGAGAGAGGTAGCTGCTATTGCGTCAACTCCAACTCATGGTGACTTTATATACAACAGAACTAAACGCTGCCTGGGCTGCAACATCCTCACAATCATCGTGTTCAAGTCCATCTCTGTGGCTACTATACCAATTCCTCCCACCGAGTGTCTCTCTCACCCTCTCTGGCCCTCTGCTTCACTAGTGACTGATTCCTTCTGATGATGTGTCCAAAGCAAGAGAGTTGGACAGTATTTTGTTGTGTTCCACAAGGTTTTCATTGGCTAATTTTCAGTAGATTTCCAAGACTTTCTTCTCAGTCTGTCTTAATCTAGAAGCTCTACTGAAACTTGTCCACCATTGGTGATCCTGCTGGTACTGGAAGTACTGGTGGCATAGCTTCCTGCATCACAGTAACATATAAGCCACTGCAGTACGAAAAACTAACAGACAGGTGGTGGTGCTGCTAGGCAGTAGTTCCTTATGGGTCGTCATTGTTGTTACATGCCCTCGAGCCAGACCTGACGCATAGCGACCCCTCCTTGGGTTGCCGAGGCAGTATCACTACAGAAGTAGATTGCCCAATCTTCTTTCCGAGGAGTGGCTGGTAGATGCATAGTGCCTAAGGCACTTGACTGCTAACCAGAAGGCTGGCGGTTCAAACCCACCAGCCACTCCTCGGAAGGAAGGTTGGGCAATCTACTTCCATAGTGATACTGCCTCGGCAACCCAAGGAGGAGTCGCTATGAGTCGGGGCCGACTCAACAGCATATAACAACAAAACTGTACACCAAAGCTCCTTATGGGTAGGAACCCTTTAATTTTGTATCTGAACCCCTACTTAGCATATGGTAAACGATCAATAATATCTATTGAATAAATGGTCCATTTACCATTTATGGCAGATTTTCTTTTCCAAAGCTGACTGCAACAGTGTCTTCCATCCCTCAAGCTCATTCACAATGAGACACTGCCACTCCTTCATAAAGAAGTGTTGTCTTTCCACTCCTTGAAACTCTGCAGATTCCTTCCATGATTGCTTTGATCAGCAGACTATGGTGGAAATGATGTTATAATTCTTAGCGTAGCCCTATACTGGTCTAGCACTTTTTGCTTTCTGACTCACGTAAAAACTATGAGCCACCTAAGGCTGCCAAAGCTACCGAGACTACAAAGCCATCTGAGACTACAAAGCCAAAGCTTCGAGGAGAGGCCCCAGAGAATGACACATCACTTGGAATGAGTGAGATGCCAAGGAGTACCAAGGCACTAGAAATGTGAGTGAAGAATCAATCAGCTCTGGCCTCCACAGCTGATGCCAGGGACACAGGGACAAACCAGTTAAGCCTTTCCAAAATTTCTGAGCTGTGAAATTACAGGCAATATAAATGGTTATTTAAGCCATTAAGTTTTAGGGTGGTTTGTTATATAGCAATAAATAGCTGAAACACCACTTAACTAAATTGAGGACTATCATCTCTAGTTTCTGAATACGCTCATTTCATAACCAGGGTTTATAACCTTTTTCTTCATAAATTAACTTGTCAAATTCCAATCCTTTCCTCCTTATAGCTCTGTTTAATTTTCATACCCTCACACTACCTTGCATTTTCTAGAGAAAGGAAATAATGAGATACGATTAGACTTACTCATAGCTTGCACTAAGAAGCTGTTTGGTTTCCATGTTCTGATCTCCCAACTTAACCTGGAATACACTTGCTCCACTTAAAGTTTCACTGGGGATGTTGGCACTGGTTAGATACCAAAAGCACATCAGGATATTAACAAACTTCCTTCCTTAGAGAAAAAACACACAAAAATACAAATCACAGTACTCTATCATCCATATATCCAAACTTAAATCAGAACTTGGCAGTAGTCACACAGTCATTAAAGATCAAATTTTGTGCTCAGTCTAGTCTAACTTAAGATACCTATCTTTTTGCTTTAAGAAATTCTCTTACAGTTATGACATGCTTGCATGCTCGGGCATCTCAGTAGTAATAGCTACCATTTACTAAGCACCTAGTATTTATTAAATGTATGACATGAGATTATTTTTAATGTGTGGCATTTTCGAAAATTACAGTAATCTTGTGGCCTATATCTGTTGTCAAACCAAAAAGAAAAAGAAAAACCCGTATTTTTGCTGTTAGTCACTAACTTAATCTCAACTGCCAGAAAGTATAAAGACTTCAGTTCTCCCTTAACTTAGTTTGTTGCAACTGGTGATTAATTACAACATTCAAGTGCTGAGACACAATTTGAAACATTAGGAGGAATAAAATATTTATTCCTAAAAATACGTTTACAAACGTTTCAAAATAACATGTGTATGAAAACTTTTCTAACAATTAAGAGTCCTGTATCAGATCTGCCTAGGGAAGTATGTAAGGAGAGCTGGACTTCCTGGAGACCCAGCATGTAAGCCATCTATGTAAATACAGTGAAACCATAAGAGCTGGGACTTGACAGGTCTGCCTTGTTTTTCCAGGTCTTGCAAGTTCTCCCCCTCTGAGAGGTACAGTCATCACCTTTCTACTGCTCTCTATGTAGTGGAAAATATTTGAGTTTTCTTTCTTTGACAGGCTTCCATATTGCGCAAGTTCCAGCTTTCACAGGTTTACTGTATTTGTAGAGGAAGTGAATAAATCAATGAGTTTTTAGGAATGCTTTAGGGGAAATTTATGCATTTATGAAGAAGGAGAAGAACCAAGTGACCCCAAGAGTTCCTTCCAACTTTTTTCATTATCCCCAAGTAAATCCAAACTGGGAATTCTGTAGTTAATCTTACTTTTAAGTCAGTTTTTAACTGGTACTATTTTCTTTCACTGTCTTTTACCCCTTACTCCTGTATAATGTGCAGGTGGATATTGAAAGTGGTCAGTTGTTTCCTTCAAATTAGGAAATCTGAAACACAACTGTTTTTGGTTTGAGACATGGGAGTAGTAGTCTCCCGTTGTTGTTCTTGTTATGTGCCATAGAGTCAGAATGACTCACAGTGAGGCCTCCTTGGGTTTCTGAGGCGGTATCACTACGGAAGTAGAGTGCCCAATCTTCTTTCCAAGGAGTGGCTGGTAGGTTTGAAAAGCCAGCCTTCTGGTTAGCAGTCAAGTGCCTTAGGCACTACGCCACCAGAGCTCCCTAGGAAGACTATTTTCATCAACCTATGTGACAAAGAAAGGTGATCCCACAGAATGTAGAAATTATAGAACAATATCACTAATATCACATGCA